CCCCCTTGTTCACTGCAGGCATGTTGATCTGCCCCCCCACATCCCGTCCCTCCCCCCTCCCCTTCCACCACAACAGACTTACCACCTGGAGGCAGCTGTATCAAATATTGGAACGGTATTGGCCGATATGCCTTCTTAAATATCAGTTATCGGTATTGGCCCCCAAAACCCCTACTTTCTGGCATAATCTCTATGAATAATAAATATTTTAAAAAGTAACTCTGCAAATTACCTTCCAATCATCAGAACACTTTTTACTGACACCAACAGTCTGATCAAAAGTTACAGATGCATGTCTGGGATTTTTCACATTCTTCATGCACCCACGGAATGGAGATGTGGAGATGTTAAAGCTGGTTTGAGAGAGAAAAAGTCAAGTGATCTGTTCCCTCAACTGTGCTATAATAAAACAGCTAGGGAGTACTGGCAGCAAGAGGGGAGGAAAGAGAAACATAGAACAGCAGATTCTGAAATGCATTCTAATTGCATACAAATTCCTAATGTCAAATCCTGTCTTTGTAGCACATTCTAAGTAACAAAAAGAAAAGCTGGGGTGCTTTTTATTTTCTACAACTAAAAGATTTTTACCATTTTATTAGAAACTGGCTATTTACTTATCAACTGCAAGATACAGTGTGAGCCCAGTCTTACTGAATTCTTCTATAAACCTCCTACTGACATCACTGGCAGGTACGAGTATGCCACAAAAAGACCTTCTGACTTCATTATAGTAACTCACCGTTCCCGTAGAGAAGATGGAAGTCCTCCCAGGTAGTATGTGGCGAATTGGAAGACACTTACGTTGACTTTTATATCAGTATTAATTTGAATATATTTCATGCAGATGTATAACTTAATCTGAAATGGAAAAGTGATGAGACTTAGGGTACACAAAAGAAACAAGAATCATTTAGCATGCTAAGTAAGCAAACATAGCAGGACACAAACAGGGTTTACTCTGGTTCTTATTTATAATAGCTTCAATACAGAGTAACTGAAATGGATTTAGATTTATGCAGGTGTAACAGAGCAGAATGTATTCTTTTACCTATAACAAATGCATACAGGAAGGACATTATGAAGACTTTTCTTTTCAGTGGTCTAGCACTAGAATAAGGTAGAATAATAAAGCTTGGTACTTTTTACAGACCATAAAGCAATTTTGAAAGAAGGGGAGTATCATTTTGTCTATTTTACAGCAAAGGAGATTCAGTGGGAAGTATTATAGTCTGAATCAGTGCCAATGTTGGAAACAGAGATCTCATAACTCCCAGTCCTCTCTACCAGAATCTACTGCCTCCCAGTGTAGGCACACAAAGTTGAAAGGCTAGTCTGAATACTGACATGTTTTATGGCCAGGGGCAGATCTCAAGGAGGTGGGAGGTTTTGTAGTGGTGAGGTTGCACCCCCTTTCTTCTGCTGTTGTTGCTGTCCCCAGGTGACCCAGGTGGAGGGGGAGCTGCAGAGCTGCTCCTGCCTCACTCCAGTCCTGGACCGCAGAGAGCAGCTGCATGGGGATTCTGGCTTGGCAGGGAACAACCATGGCAGCTGGCAGGTTTCCTCTTCCTGCACCTGCTACTTGATCCTCCCCCACCATGATTCCCACAGGCTGGGAGCAGGCGCTCCAAGGAGAAACCCACTTGCCATTGTCACTGACTGACGCAAGTAGAGGGTCCCCCCCAGAACCACTCTGGCTGCACTCAGGTGACAGGCTTGGCTGGGAATAGTGGCAGCAGCACACACGTTCCTTCTTCCAGCTTCGCTCCCAGTCAGTGGGGTGCACTTGGGGGCGGGGAGGGAGAGGGGGAGCAGGGAGAGCAGGTGCTGGAAGGAGTAACCAGCATGCCATCACCATTGTCCCCAGCTGAGCCTAGTACCCTAAGCAACTACTGCCCACAGGCCCCAGCTGGAGTGGGGTAGGAGCAAATCTAGTCCTCCCTCCATGGCTGCATCAGCCAGGGATAGCAGCAGGGTAGCAGCAGATGGGTACCCCCTTCATGTGCATACCTTCTGCCTAGCTTCTCAGTGTCCTCTGCTAGTCCAGGAGTTCCAGTGATACTTTGCCCCTATATCCCCTCCATTGTCTGAGAGGCAGTGTGCCACACCTCCCCTTTAGGAAACTCTAGATCCACTCATGTTCATGGTTCACTGTGAATCAAAGTCAAAGGGCATTTATAGACATGCTCTGGAAGTGTGGGGGAGAGAGGGAGCTTTAATGAGAGTGGCTCCCAGAGAGTCGCTCTCATTAAAGCTCTCCAGGAGCATCAAATGTATCAGCGTCCCTGTGCTGAAAAATGGTGGTGGGAGTTCTTTAACTAAAGCTTGTAGAATGAGCTAAGGTTGAAACACCCCCACCACCATTTTTCAGTGCAGGGATACTGATACACATGATGCTGGAGTGCAGTAATTAACATGCTTCAGCAAACTCAATTAATTGAGTCTGCTCTGACGTACTGTAGTTACAGTGTGTTGGAGCAGCCTTGCTGCATGTCTACAGGTGCCCAAAGGTGCTGAACACCTACTGCTTATTTATAATAGGGGACTTGTGGGTGTTTTGGCACCTATAAAATCAGGAAATCATTGTCCTAACTGGAAAAATCAGGGCACCAAATATAGATGCGCTCATTGAGGAGAGGTACTGTTTTTATGAAGTGGATTCTGTAAAATTGTGCTTATAAATTCAAGCCTCTATCACTACAGTAAAATTTGTAGTTAGCCACTCATGCCCCTTCTTTTTTAGCAGGGTGAATCAAAAAAAGTCTTTTGTTTGTCAGCAAATTATCTGGAGAAAGGTCATGATTTCCACAAATTAAGATGATGCTCTCAATGATTCAATTAATGTCTCAGGCAAACACATTTCAGCCTATCAATTGCTGAAAACACTTTGAACACTGCTTGCAATTTTTGATATTTTAAAAATTGAGCTGTTTTGACTGGACACATTAAGTCACAGCATGATTGGATGAATGTGACTCAGAATTTGATTTCTTGTGTAAGTAGTCTATAAGTGTGTTTGTTGTGTATAGCCTGTAATATTTCTCTTAAAATTTGCTGCATATGTAAGCATTCTCACTATCAAACAAACGTTAAACCACATGAAAAAGGCTGAATACAAAAATAGGTACAAATAGACAATCCAATAATTCATTTCCAAATTTGAACTAATCTTCCCACATTTTTGTAATTTTTTCCCAGCTATAATTTATACATACATTCACATGCACATGCACATACCCTGAAGTTATTGTTAAGTAACCTTATTTTATCATTGAATACTATGCATTTAACAGAAGAGTTTAGAATATTTATGGCCAAAATAAGCATCAATCAAAGGATCTGCTTAAATTAGTCATAGCAGACTTTAAATAAATAGCACTATAAGATAGCTGTAAGCAAGCTAAAAAATTAAGCAGCTGTATAAAAAAAAAATCAGTTAGATTTTCTTGAAGCCAGTCTAAAAATATACAAAATTGAATATTAAAATACTGTTGATATTTCTGCCAAATACTGTAATCCTCAAATAAAACAGTATTCGTGTAAAGGGCAAGTCTTTTCAGTGGTTATTCTGCCAGTTGTGACCTGCTAGAAAATAGAACAGTGGGTGGCGTAAACATTCATTTTCTTGTCATCTTTACACATACACTTATGTCCTCTAGCCTGAACCTCTTAACATAAAAGCAAACATCAACATCAAAATAACTTAATACAGAGTGATTGATTTCAGGTATTATGAGATGTATTTTCAGAAGTTCATGATACTTTGAATATGTGATCATTTGTTTGTTTAAAGAACATACTTGCTGATATGTTCCATCATTTACAACTGCTGTATTTCTTGCAACTTCCTTTGCTGGTTCTGAGTCAAGTTTGTATCTGAACACTAGGTGGCCATTTTCAATGATCACACTAATGAAGTGATCCTGCAACAAGAAAAACAACAAAACCATTTAACAAATCATATATATCTCAGTGCTATTTGAGTCATTTTAACAAAACGAAACTTTGTAGGCAGGTTCCAGAACCTTACCTAAGTTCTGTCAAACTTTGGCAAAATCAAACCACTTCTGCCTTTTGATTTTGCTGACTTGGAAAACTGCCCCCAAAAAGGTTTTGCTAGAATTTTTCTGACTAGCACCTATTACATCAGTTAAATCAAAATGGCATTGAATAGAAATCCCAGTATAAATTTTCTTTCAGTTACACTGGTGCAACTCACTGGCATCAATGGCTTTGCAACAGATTAACTAAGAGGGAAAGTTGACTTGCATTTTTAAAAAGTATGCAAACATGACTGTTATAGCTTTCAGGTAAAGCAGTTGCTTCCGTCATGTATAAATATGACAGAAATACCTAGTGCGATGAAAAGAAGAGTGTACTAAGTCCCTTTGAAAGATTGGTTTGAATTACCAAATTTGTCTTTAACATGATGCATAATATTAGTAATATATTTTCCTTATGCTTTACTGGGTGTATTGCAGAGTTTCTGGGATTACACAAAGAATCACTGACCCAAACTCTTCATAAAAAGGGCAATAGCAGTGATAATGACATCATATTTATTTAACTTTCACTAAAACTAGTCCATCCTCCATCTCCTGCTGTAGGAACCTCCAATGGCTTTAGGCAAAATGAGATTATTTAACTCTTACAAATTATTCTTTATCTCCCATCTGTTTGAGGTATTTCTGGGGTGCTCATTACCATACCAGTTCCTTGTTGGAAACAAATATTTCTTATTGAAACAAAGACAAAGTTATTATCAACCCAACATATTCACTTAAACTTATTTATCTCATATCACAAACAGTAAATCAGTTTATAATAACATTTGCCAGTCACAGTTCTCCCTACATCTCTACATTTTCCAGGTTAGATATGCTACTGTCAGAGTAAATAATGGGACAACTCGTTATCATATAATAATTCACACTTTCTGTTCATTGCTATAATCAACATCTATTCACTGAACAGTTGCTTCTCAAATATGTCATAATTAATATTAAGTAGCAATAAAACACAGGATGAAATGTACTAATCCATTTCTCAGATGACTATGAAAGATACTATTGCAAGTGACACTTCAGTGTAGCTTCTCAATGAATGGTAGTTTTCAAATTATTATGTAGGATACACAATGCAAAAGGTATTTCAACCATTTTATGAGTTACCTGGTTTTCTGCAAAAAACACTACTCCTTCATCTGAAGTAGTCTGAATTGTCTGTTCATAGAGTAAAGAATGGATTTTTATTTCTTCATATGTTACACGTGCATAGCCTGTTCCTTCAAAATAAATTTGATCAGATTCTTCCCTATATCTGTAAAAATGAAACATCACAAGTCAGAATGCATGTGACCCTTGCTTGCTCCCATGTGTGCATATCAAGAAACACAACAACTGTGATTCTTTTCGAAAAGCTCCAGTCAAGATATTCAGCCCTAAGGGTGACCAGACTCCAATATAAATTGGAGCAAACTTTTCTTTGAATTCTATGGGATATGGTCTTTAGAGAGAAAAACTCTGATTTCAAAGGCTTTAGAGATCAGCAGTCTTTTCTTAATGTCATTTTAGACTATAAAGAAGCTGGGAACTATATGCTGCTGATTTGAGAAATTTAAGCATGAATCTGGGCATTACAACATTTGAGTGGTAGGGTATATGAAGTGAGTGGTTGTGAATACGAATGCTGGCTTGCCTGCCTAGTGTGTTTCCCAAACTTTGAGCACCTGCAATGATCTTAACTCTAGAAAAATTAATTGTTGAGTTGGATAAATACAAGAATGTGTGATGTAAAACAACAATAGCAGTGTGAATTTCTTATTGTAAAACACTGCTGTATTTATAATGTTACCTTCTGCATGGCCGCACTTCCATGGTATTGAGATTAAACGTTCTCCTGAAGTTGTACAGGCTAATCATGTTTTCATTTAGGCTGTCTAATTCAATGCAGCCTTCATAGTAAGGATGATCTAGTTCTCTGGGAGGCTGCAAAAATAAGACAATAACCAAACCCTCTATATCAATAGCAATCCAATAATGTTTACAAACTACGAAAAAGAGCAATTATGTAATTGTTCAAAGGTTCTAATGGAAAAATATTTTTCAGAATACCTGTTATCATCCAAAATGTACCATAGCCTGGACCAACTCAGAAGTGCTAGCCAAAGAACACTCAATAGTTAAGTCTCTAATTGCAATGACTAAACTTCTGCATAAGCAAAACTGATGGTTCCACTTACCGTAAAATTACGTGGGTATCCTCCAACGTAAAATACAACGTTGCCGGGATCCAAATTTAGGAGAGTGTGACTGTTGTCACTACTATTGTCAAAATTCCCTTTGTCTTTCGGCATTGCTGTGGCCGCTTTGACATAGTTCAGCTTGGCAAACTGGTAAATCCTAAAACAAAAGGGAAAAAGTAAAATAATAAGACATTTTATTAATACAGTGAGATCTAGATAGGATCTGAAAAAAGGGGGCAAGTGGATTGTATTTTTATACCTTTCAAATTTTACTCGATCCAAAATAGCTTCTTCAGGGTTACTCTCAGTTACTAAAGGATCTACTTCTATTTCAGCCTCATTGCCTCCCAGATTATAAACACAAATGAGACGACCATGCCTTACAGCCATACCAATGTAGTCCTTGGAAGCCTACAACCGGAAAAGCACAACAACAATTAAAGGAATGATTTATGTAAATGGTAGTAAAAAGCTAGAAAGTCACTTCAGGGACATGACAATGCTTTAGATGGTCATAAAAAGCTGTACTAATACTGCATGAAGCACAGTAATCACATTTTATTAGGCTTACTAGTTCTAGAATGTATATTTGCAGATTCTTAGGCTGCACTGATTCAACAAAAATACATTTAAATCAATTGAAGACTCCTTCATACTTGCATTGAATGAGGTCCAATTCTGGCTGTTAATTTCAGTATTATAACAATAGTATTACAATAATTTTCATTTTGGGGGGCCTTCCCTGAGCAGTTTTCAAACCACTGTGCACATAATAAAGAGTTTAGTCTCGTAGTGCCTCTGTGAGATAAGAAAGATGGAAGAAACAATACTGAAGTGCAACTGCTCCTCTGAGATGCCTTAAAGCAATAATTTCACATGTGATTAACATTTTACTTCTCTCATATACTTCTCTTCCTAATTGTAATAAGGAAAATTAAACTGTCATCAAAAAAGACATTCTGAACCAGAAGTTCAGAAAGATAAGGTAGGATCCAGCACAGAATAATTGTGCTAATGCATACCACATTTATAACAAACACATAGACAGATTTGGCTGAGTGTAAAAATGAATAGTTTAGGAACATAATACATAGTGATTAACACATGATTAACATGTAGTTAGGAAAACTGATTAAGGAGATGGCATGACCAGGCACATGTTTTAAATATGTAAGTGAGGCAGAGAAGAGGCTTGGTGCTACATTTTGAATGAGAAAACCACTGTTAAACCTAATGTAAGAAAAAAGTGTTAATTATATTGTGGTAACATCTATGGACCTGAATCAGGATCAGGACTCCTCTGTGCTGGGTACTACACAAACAAAAAGGAAACCTAAAGAGACACTTCTTTAATACAGCCCATGGCTATAAGGTTAAGGACAGTAACAAGATTAACTAGAGGTATCCATTAGTGGGAAGTACAGTAAACTCTAATGAATTTGCCCCTCCAAAGGGAATAAAAATAATGGTGAAGTATCAAAAGTTGAAAACTGGGGGGAAGGAGGAGAGAATGACAGGTTGCTGGTAGGAAGCTGGGAGAACTGTTGAATTCAACCGGACTTAACTGTAAAGCGTTGGGGACTCTGACCAAGCAGGCCTGGCTGGGCCAAGCACTTGAGTTATCATACCTGCTCCTGATCCTTGGCTAATGTGATTGCCCCATTTCTCTGCAGTCAGATTGTCTGCTGAAAGCAACTCTCACCCCTTTGAAGCACACCTGCAGTCTCAAGCTGTAGGCACACCTTGACACAGCCTCAGTCTGTTTCAGCAAACCTCACTTTCACTGCTCTCCCTGGCTCTCCTTGTCAGGTTTGACCTAGAAACCACTACACATAGCCCAAGCAAAAGTCTCTGTTATGTAACTAATGCCCAACTGCAATGATAAGGAGAAGACAGTCTTAGATAAAGGAGGCTTGAAAACAAAAACAGAATTAGTGGACTAGGGCAAAGAACTGATTTAAATATTAAGATTCACACCCCTAGGTGGGGAGAAAGTATGCTAATGAAACATACATGTATGGAAATGAGATACATGGCTAAAACACAGGTATAGAGACATGCTCAGTAAAGAACTCCTTGCGTCACTCCCTTATAACCAATTAGCAAACAAGAATGCTTATGAAGGTCCAATACTCCTGTATAAAAGATGCTTAGAATTGAGAATCTGTGTGCTTGTTACGTGAAATTATTCCGCTTGCACCTTGTATTGCTAGCAATAAATCTTTATACTTTCACCCCTGGTATCTTTATTGGCTTTTGCATACCGGGCACGATCCCAGACTTGAGCTGGGGCTCAACATCCTGACCCTGATCTTGGATTTTCCCTGAAACTTGGAGCTGGCTCTGCTCTCTCTGGCTTTCCTAGTATCCTGACTCACCTTGGCTTCCTTGGTGCTGATCTCAGATTTTCCCTGGAACTCTGTACCAGGTCCCTGACTCTGGGCTCCTGACCTTGGCTTACATCTTGGAGTGTCTCTTGGATCTCCCCTCTCAGCTCCCCTGGAACTCAGTCTCATGGTCTCCACTCCACTCCTGATCCAGACCCTGACCAGACACTCTGGTAACCTGTGACCCTGCCCTGCAGACCTCCTATTTGCAGAACCAGTTGCCAATGCCCTGGCTGAACCCTTCCAAGAAGTGACAGAGGTGACAGAAAAACAGCTCAGAAAAAACATTTGTCCAGCTAGCTATTGGTCCAATGGAAGAAAGGGCCAATGAACCATTCTTTCACCCCACATAATGCTGATTAAGATAAAGGTAAATGCTGACAGAGAAAATGTCCCCATCTCTTGCTTCAAAATGTATTTTCTGCTTTAAGTGTTATTTAAATCTCAATAAATACTTACATCCTCATTACCCAGATACATCACAAACATTTTTGAACTATTCAGCCTTGATCGAGGTCTTTGGAGGAAGAAGGAAAGGGATGTGTAGCCCTTCAAATCATCAAGGTTGCTTGGTGCTCGAACCTCTACTCCAGAATGGCCATTGAACCTCATTGGAATAGCAACCTATCAGGAAAAACAAATTCAAGGGAGTAAACATTTCTACTGCCAACAACATTAGTTCATGTCTGTGCTGAGTGACCTCTGGCATAGAGTTAACATATACATATTGTAAATGAGTACCCATGGGTTACCACAACAGCCCAAGCTCCAGCCCCTAAATCAGCACAACAATACAGTAGGGTGGGAATTCTACTGTTGTTCTGCTCCCACTTAGCACTTACACAGCACTTTTTTCTTCAGACATTCACCAGTCAGCCCTCACAGCAACACCTCTATTTAGTAATTATTACCCTCATTTACAGATAGTCAAGCCGTTAGTGCATCTCAGCCAACAATGACTGCCAGGGCTCAACACCTCTGGAAAAATCACACCTCTTGCTTAGATGTCTATGTATGGATCTAAATACTTCATTTAGTCTTTACTACCTGTCTGGCATGACATTACATTGCTAATCACAATACAATGTCAGAGCTCTTGGTCACTTTTTTTTCGGCCATGGTTTTAGCTCATTCTTTTACACAGTGAGGACCACATCTCAAAAGATAGATTGTCTAATCAATGCTTTTTTATTGGCACTATTGGTAAACCCGCTATCTTTGTAGCAACTACAGAAATTGCTTCTATGGAAAAACAATACTAGGAAAGGAATGTGTAACTAACTTTTTAAGACTGTATCGCAGTTAGAAAAAAGACAGCCAGAGCTATGGAAACCAACATCTCTCTACAATTTGCAATGAAAAACAGTCACAATTGGAGAATATCTATTCTGAGGGTAGAAAGTGATTCCAAAGAATACTATCTTCTGCTAGAAGAAATGCCACTACAACAACCGGCCTTCAAAAGAAAAGAGAGAATAGCAAAAGGAGATTTGTAGGATGGGATGCATCTAAATTGGGACAGCAGGAAAATTACAGAGCAGTGGTTTTCAACCTTTTTTTCATTTGCAGACCACTAAAACATTTTGAATGGGGGTGCAGACCCCTTTGGAAACTTCAAATAGAGGTGCTGACCCTTTGAATTGTAAGTGTGGGTATTCAAATACTTTTGATTGATCAGTCTTCTTTCACAGACCCCTTAGGCATACTCTGCAGACCTCCAGAGTCCATAGACCACAGGCTGAAAACCACTGCTATGGAGGCTTCTCTGTCCATATTTCCCTGCTTCATTAAAGGTGCCCATCAAGACACTATCTATTTATAGTGATAGTACTAATGAATTAATTCATGCATATTATAGCAAAATGTTTTATGGAGGGGATAACAAGCCTCCTTCTGTGCACAAATCAGCGAACTCAAGGAAATGTGGGAACTGTTCGTAACACACCTTGTTTGCAGCATCTCTAGCCTGTTGAATGAGCTCTCGTATGCGGTACACATTGTCAGATATGTTGCCTATAGGCATCAGCTGTTGGTTGATGCTCTCAATCTTGTTAAACAGATCCGGGAGCTTGCTTGTTAATTTCATTACTGTTGGTGTGATGAGAGAAAAAAGAAATCATGGGGGAATGGAAAAAGAGGTGCACATGCAGAAAAAAATGTCTGTGGTGCTGACCCTCATTGTTTTTATCATAATCCTCATGATGTTTGGTGGATATTTGTTTCTTCCCCTGCTTCTGGAGGAAAAAGTTTACATGAGAATCTCATCTTTCATTTTTACATACATTTCTATCCCTTCTTGTTGCAGAAAAAAGCTTAAAAGTGTGATGTAAGTACAGGGCACAAAAGTTCAGAAGCCAAATAAAGAGCTCAAATAGGATGGTTTTTAAACCAGTATCTTAATTTTTGACTCATAGTTTTTGAATACTCAAGGTTGGCAATGACCTTTATGGTTGGTTACTGTAATTCTCACTTTTACTAGTAAATTAGGCTCACTGTGTTTGTAACCATGTATTTTTATCTGCATTAAGTAAACTGTCTGCAAAGAGAAGACATTTTTCTTTATGGTTTAAGTACCCACTTTTTCTTAACCTTGCTGGTTTTTAAAATACTTTTAAATGAAATGTGCTAATCTCTGTTTATAATTCCATATGCAGTTAATTTCAAATACTCAGTTTTATTTTACGTCATCATATGCAATTATTAAAGATGCAAAAAAAGAGACATCATGCAAGCTGTTTGTGCCTATAGGTTTGGATGGTCCCTTGCTCACACCATATACAAATTATTACTATCACCATGTTTACTAGGGTCATCAAATAGAGACTTGCTGGTGTTGACCACACACAATAGAGATAGCCAGCACTGCACCCACCTGAGTTGTTTGCTTCTGTCAAAGCTTTGTTGAAGTCAGTGGTTTGTTTGCTTCCATAGCTGCCCTTTATTTTTTCTACATCTGCTTTAATTGGGTTTAGTTCATCCAATACACTAGCAGTGACATCAGTGGCATTTTTGACCATATTCTTTGCTTGGGTGATGGTGCTATCTATGTCATCTAAGATGCATACAAAAGCAGAAGTAAAGACTTTGAACAATGGTAAAATAAAAGGAAGCAAAAGTGCTCAGAGAGTAACTGACCTCTGTTTATTCCACTGAGACTACTCTGAGAAGTAAGGAGATCACTCAGTAGCGTACTCTTCTTCCCTTCAACAACTCCAAGTCTCTTTTTTACGTCTTCAAGAGTTGGATTAATATCTGCAAAAGAGTGCACCATGTATCAGCTTCATAACTTTTATACAAAACACCCTTAGTCCTTGTGGTAGGTTTTTTTGTGTGGAACACCTATTGCATTTGCTAGCAGTGGCTTAGTGTATGGCAGAGATAATCAGCAAAATTCATCCCTGCTGTAACTCCATTCAGTCTGTTGCACCTACATTTTTAGGTTTAGGAGATAGAGGGATGTAATGAGACCTTGGCGCACACTTTTCTCACCCCTGTTATTTACCTCGTGTAGTATTATTGATAGAAACTATGAGGCATGAACAAACAAACATATACCCCAGTGTAATTTACACTGGCTTCACATATTGATGTAAACTGAACAAGAATCAGAAGCAGGCACATGAGCAAATATACTGGGGTAGTTCACAAAATTGGTGGCTATCATGGCATCTTGCTGCTAAGGCAGCAGGGGACCAAACAGAGTATTACCTTAAGCATATGGCTACCCTATAATAGAATGACAAATGAAACCCAAACAAGTATAACTCACATAGACTTTGACTGCCGATTCTTTCAAGAGTAATTTTCCACTGCATGGAGTAAAGTTATACTGGTTGAAGTGTTTTCATCATCTGTTTGCTGACAGATATTTTTGTTGACTTGGGGGATGTAAATGCTTTACACATCCATATACAAGATGAACAAATAAAATGATGGTAGCCCACAGTGTTATGGGCTAAGAGATTATAATACTGCCACACTGGGGCAATGGAAATTACAGGGGAAAATTACAAGATAATCTATATCCTGCAACGTTTAGCTGTGTGTGCTTTCTGGGCATGTGTGTATATAAGTGTGTACTCATCAGAAACTTGTACAGGATGCCCAAGAGTGTATAACCATATATTTTTTTAGAGGGAATAAGTACCTCACTAAGAGTGATCCATCTTGAATGTTTCTTATATTACTGCTAGTACAGATAATAAGTATGGATCAGAATGACAATGCAGAGAGTCCAGTTTAACATTTTAGGTACATAATATGCTAATAGTGTGCATTTAGATCAGGAGTGAATGGCATTATTGCACTGTAGATTTTGCATGTAGTGCAGGGGACCTAACAGAACAAAGGGATAAAAGCAGATGCAGTATATGGTTTCACTTTTACTACAGATGATGGGCAGCTTTATTACAGTACCATATGTTGCCATGAAATGGCAAGAAATTATGCTACCTTCCCTGTGTAACTGCTATTCTCTCTTAGGATTTATGTAAGGGGAAAGGAGCTTTAATTTTTATAGGAGCCCAACTGGTAATGGCTGCTGGGGGGGAGGGAGAGTGGGGGGAGGGGAGCTTGGTGGCCATACCTTGCTAAGTCAATGCTGCCCACTTCTAGAACTGTGTATGCCTCCTCTAGGGATTTGGCTGCTGGTAAACATGGATAAATTAGACTCACTTTCCATATGTTCCAATACAAAGGATTTTCTTTAAACTTTTCAAATTAAGTAAAGTTTATAAACGTCACTAAATTGCACACAAATTGCAAGGTGATGCATGCTTATAAATTACTAGTAAACAAAAGGTGAATGGATTATTTCCACCTGCTGAATATGGCATTGTTGGGTGGGACCAAATCTTGGCTGACCCCTTTTCTTGCTTGAGTATTTTAAGCCAAGAGGTTTTAACCCAATCAACATGATCCTCTTACATTTTAGGATTCTATCCTTGAAGCCAGCTATTGGGGTGGGTACAACAATGCTTATCCTTTCTGAGAAACTTAAGCAGCTCACCAGACAGTATTTGTAATTTGTCCATGCACTGATTTGAGTCCTCATCTTTGACAATTACACTGCAGTTTGAAATCTGTTCAGGGAATTGTAGTGTTCTGGGATTTGCAAAGAAGCATTACAGAGAAAATAATTTTAAATGACACCTGGGGAATATATTAATCTTTTTTCCATATACACGATTTAAAAGACAGAAAACAAACAGAAATCACCTTTGTGCCAACATACAATTTCTACAGTGACACAAAACCTGAACTAAAAGATGTCTAATCCCTTTGCCATTCCATAAATGCCCAAATTTGTGGGCATGACAATTTGTGCTAATAGTCTGTGTCACCTTTTTGTGACTAATATCTGTTAGTTTGTGGCAAGGCAGCCTGGGGCTGCCTGTGTTCTCCAGCTGGCCTGGGCAGGCAAATGCTCCCGGGGCTTCAGAGGCCTGATCCTGTACACCCCAGGAATCCCTCTGCAGGGGGATTCTCAGCCTACATGTACCCCAACTCAGAATGTGGTCTGCAAGTGCGGAGTGATGAATCTGTATGGGATCCTCCGTCCGTGCTTGCTGACATACACCTGGGAATTGCCCTGGAAGGTCAGGGTGCAGTCTGGAAGCACAGAGTGGGGAAACCCCATGGGACTACACCCCTGAAGTCCCGATAGTAGCAGAAGCCTGATCCTGCAGGACAATGGAAATGCCTGGTTTTGCTGATGCCACAACAAAAACAATGTCTGTTTTTAGCCTTTAAGTCTCCGGACTTTGGCAGCAGGAACCTCAGGAAACCAGGCTTTCTACTAGGGGTGTGCAAAGCGGGCCGTATTTGATTCAGATTTGGCCTGATTCAGGGGAAAGTGATTCAAATTGCTGATTCAGATCACTGTCCCAATTCGATTCAGCCGAATCTGAAGATTCGATTCTGATTTGGAGAATCAGTGATTCAGCCATAGATGCAACTTTATATGTTTTTTCTACATACCTCAAGGTACCAGGCATCTCATGAATGCTGAGATGGTGGGGTGGATGGAGCGTCCCACGGGAGTGCAGGGGGGGAGGGCAGGAAGGGAGGGGGTTGCTCAGAAGTGGACTGGAAGTGCTTCTGGTCCACTTCCAGGTCTGCCGCCGAGTGCGCTGTGCCCCCTCCCTCTTCCCCCCCGTGCTCCCGTGGGATGCTCCATCTGCCCCACCATCTCATTTGCATTTTCATTTTCATTTTCACAGACCTGTATTTTGCCTTCTATTCTACCCAGGAGAGCAAACAGCAACAGATTCTCCCTATGCCTGAAGAAGGGTATTTGTGCCCCAAAGTTAGCAAAGAACAATGTTTCCAACTATTTAGTTGGTCTAATAAAAGATATCACATCTACCCAAAGAACCTTGTCTGACCATGAACAGGGACATTTAAATGAAAATTGCTAATCCTCTATCAACATGCCTGTCATTGTCTTGTTTTTTATTATACCTTGTAATGTCCGTTGTGCCACCTGTGCTTGATTCAACAGAGTGCCGCTTTCAGCTTTTAATTTTGTAGCTTTGCCTGCTAGGTCTTCTCTCTCCACAGTCTAGTAACAAAAGTACAGTACAGAAAGATTAATTTTATAATTCCACACAAGGCAGAGGAAGAAATTAGGAATAAAAATTAAATAATAAAAATTCAGCCTACTTAAAAAAAAAAAAAAAAAAAAAGACAAAAAATTTTCCTGAAAAAATGCAAACACATATTTTTTTAACAAGATATTATTTCCCTTTCCCCATTTAGCACAGCCTCTTGTCCTTAACAGCCCTCTTTGTTCTCTGCAGGAAATTGTCTTCTGTGTTCCTCATCTTGTCTATAGTTTCGAGGTCAATATCCAGACAAGGGCAGCATCTAACTTGTGACTCCAAATTCAAGTAAATGTGCAAGAAAAGCATTTGAATTCAGATCTTGTGTATGTACAACCAGCCAAGCAAGGTTTCGACTTCAGTGCTCAGCTGGTTGTAAAATCACCTGCTTGTAACATAATTACCATCATTTGGCTGCATTATGGACCTACCAGTAAAGCTGAATCAGCTGCATTTTTGGCTTTGTTAGCTGCTTCCTCAGCTGCTTGGACAGCATTAATGATATTTTCATAGGCAGTGGCAGCTTCCATAGCACAGCTAACAAGCTTGTCATTACTAGCATTTCTCTTAATTCTGAGGAAAAGAACACAATCATAAATAGTGGGCTAAAAACATAGATAAACATAATTGTAAACAGCACTGAAATTGAATATTTGTTAATTACTACCAATAAAAATATATTTCATGCTAAAAGCAGACCAATTGCAAGGCATATTTAACAAAAAGTTCTAGGTTTTGGTGGTGCATAGCAGACTTAAAATGATTTAAATAGCTCCCTGGAGTTTCCCCTGGGATAGGATGAATATGGCCAGATATATGCCCCCCACACCAGAGTTCCTGCTCACAGGGCAGCAGACAGACAGCACCTTTCAGTTAATCTCTTGCTGCTAAACAGGCCATGGGGGGCATAGATAGCTTAGCATTAAGTAGAGTAACTGTTGGACTGCTCTTTTATGAGCTAAGGGACAGCTCAGTGGAATATGCACTCTTAATATGCAGTTCCTTGGTACTCAGAAACATTTAATTAGTACTTATTTGTAATACTTCAGTGACACCCCTACCCACAATCCCAATCTTCTCCATTGTGTCATCCTGTAGACTCTTTCAGGAAACTACAGGAACATGTCCACAGGAAAAATAAGACTGGTTTTGAAAAAAAGAAAACTGACAGGCCTTTGTTACACACCCTAGACAGGCACAGAGAGGGACAAATCCAATTTTTCTGACTTTTCAAGTGACCGTAGAAGCAAGTGAAAAAGATTAATATATACATGCGGTGCATTACAATTGCGCACCTAATGGGCGCCTATACACGAGCAGCGAGCTTTCTCCGATGTGCTGTAATTACAGCGCGTCAAACCAGACTTCAAAGTCTCGTGTATCAGCACCTCTACACCATGGCAGCAGGGGCACCTGAACTAAAGCTCATCGAAAAAGATTTAATTAAAGTGACCCTGCCACCATTTTTAAGCACAGGGACATTACTACAAAAGACACTCCAGGCACTTTAATTAGAGTGCTCCAGGTGTTCTCGGAGCCACTCTAATTAAAGTGCTCCCCACCCCACTCCTGGAGCACATGCATAAATGCCCAGTTTTCTTAAACCATTCATTGACAAAAATAAATACATACTCATCCAGTTGTCTTGCCAGGTCTTGCAAAAACTTGGCGTGTTCCTCTGCCCTCACCACAAGAGGCTCTTTGCTGGCAGACAAGGAATGGTTCTTTAGTTTTTCATTCAAATCCTTTCTTGCTCCATCTAGTTTGGCAGCTAGAATGTCATATTCCTGTGGTTTATAAAAACGAAATCTCATTTTAATTCACCCAAATGCGAATTGACATTTTGTCATTGTTTTCTTAGGTTCCAAACGTGAAGCATTCCTCCTTTTCTTGCACACCTGAGTACAGCAAAGGGAAATAACTCCTTTTTCTTTGTATAGTCAGCAGTTTACAGGAGACAGACTGCCCACTGATCCCACTGTATTTTGTTTCCATTTATAATGATACAAGCTGTTATTCAACATTTTTGTACTTAAAGTCACATTTTGATTCACTATACCTCTTTGCTTTTCCGCAGTAATCCAAATATACTGTTCGTTTGAGTCACAGAAGACTGGGTAGACCTAAGAAGATCCAAGATATCATTCTGTTGTCTATTCATCTCTGCAATCCGTTTCTATGGAAGAAGGGAGGGTTGCAATAAATTCAATCAGTTCAGCTTCTATGGGGGGGGCATAAAAATAAAATCTTCACCATTTGTCTAATCTAGCTAGCAGAAATGTTTGCAACACTCCCATCCCTGTATTATCTGCCTCCCTATCCAATATCGGTATTATCTGGGTGGGATCTAATACCATTTTATTGATATTCATGACACTTGGGAAGTTTATGGTAATGAAGCCCAGTTCAAAAGACAGCGTGAGAAGCAGATTGAAGCTTTCGTCAGTTATTAGTTCTTCACACTACCTGACAGCACTGACCAACGGGGACTCTTTCTTCTCACCTCTGGAGTACAGCAAAACAAGATGTGATGTTATACTTTACTTCTGTCTATCCTTCTCAAAAGTAAGAAAAAAAGATCCCCAAAGGCTTTCTCCCCTCTGAGCCACTGAGCGTTCTCCCCTCTCTGAAGAGGTCTCAGGGGAGAATGAATGAGGATGGTTCATCTAGCACCTTCTACCCAGCATCCCATCATATCTTATCACAAGCTGATGACCATTTTAACCAGGGACAGAGGAACAGGAAACGCAAGTTAAAGAACTGTACGTGTACCTTCATCATTTAAGATGGCCTTTAATTGTTTTAGCCATTTTGTCAGATGTGATGTCCTAGACAAGCACAAGCAGTATATACACATGCACAGTTTTAATGTACAGTCGAAAGAAACATTTCTAAGAAGTGTCCATGACCTAAGTGAAAACCACACTTTGCTGAAACAGTGAAGATCCTTTCAATCAAAAATACCATTTTCAAGAGAATGCACCCTAAGTAAGTTTATGTTTCATTCCATTAACTCCACAACAGATCAACTTAATTTATTCCTTAGATCACCTACAGGAGTTCAAGGACTAAATACATTTATGAAAAATTGAACTGTATTTTAGCTACCTATGACAGCATCACACAAAGGATTCTGAGTATTTTATCTGTAGTGTTTCTGATGTGGCATGAAAGCAGACGGTACTTATACATCGATACAAAATAACAACAAGCACTTATCTAGCCCTTTCCATTTTACAGGGCACCTGAGGGAAAGACTGGTTAAAAGCCTTGCTAATGGCCATGCAACAAAGGTCAAGAATTGAACCAGAACTCACAGAACACAAAATGGATAGTTACAGCTGGAGAAGGAAGTACTTGGACAGAGATTATTCCAGTTCTCATTTATACCAACTCTCCTTTATTCTGATTTGGTCAAGTAAAGACATCTTAAGTAAGAGCAAATTATGCCTATTTAAAAGCCCTTTTATACTGTCAGAGTGGTGGGAAAGAGATCTTAATGAAAATAGGAATTGGTCCCAGAATGAATACAACTTGGCTTTGCAAGGCCAAAAGCAGCAAAGTAACGTTATTCTGTCCAATTAATACATGCTTAAATATTTTTTTAAATAACATGCTGTTACCTTAATGCTTTCCAAGAGCACTCCATTTTCTCTGTTTAAATTCTGAGCCTGCTTAGTTTGTCCATTTGCCTCATTCAGAGCTTCCTGAAGATCACTGAGTTTGGATTCGTATTCGTTTAATGAATCTCTTACAATTTTAATAAGTCCATTATTTTCCTGCTGGTGTTTTTGTAGTTCCTTCCTGACACGTTTCAGTACTGTGGGATTAGAATTGAAACAGTTTTCCTCTGAACTGCAGAAGCAGATAAAAATTAACCTTATTCTGCAGGTTTATACCTTTAGAATTAGGTAGCCCAGCCTTGTGAGATACTCAGCATCCTTAGCACACAGTTTAGGTGAGGATTTTGGGCACAGGGTAAAATTGTTGGGCAAAGTTATTAAGTCCAAAAACTACAACAAGTCTAGTAAAAAAAGTCCAGGTTTTGCCATAAGCAGAAGTAAAGGCTTTAATATCTGTTCTATAGGTTTACCATGAGTATCATCTATTCATAAATAAGTCATGGTTAAAGTATTAGGGACAGGCCAAATTCTGGTCCAATTTGCAACTATGGCATATTGTTCCCAGAAACATTATCTGGGCTCTATCAGCAGCTGTTCTAAAGAAAATCCTTTCCCAAAAGAATGAGTAATGCCTACCCTACTCAATGGCTATATCTGCTCCCTAGAAGAGGGCTCTGTGATCCTATCTTCTCAACAAAAGTCAGAACACAGAATAGTACACAGGGAGAAAGGGCTTTTCCTGTTGCCTCATTAGAGGTGACAGGCAAGTGTATAGTGGCAAGTATTGCCACCTATGTAGGATATTATCATATGCAATCAAGAGATAAGACTTTTGCCTCTGAAGGAATGGACCAGTTAGGCTAAAGATTCCCTGTTGTGGTGGGAAGGAGAGAATAGGGTGGTGGATGGAATTTTGTGTCTCTATTATGGATTTTATTCCCAACAAGCCAGGATACATACTGTAACATGTTCTGATAATTTACATACCACAACATGCCAGACAGATTTCTGGTAGTTCATTTAGATATAATTTGTGCAGTAGATGCACAAATAAAGCCCTTTTCAAGGCATGATCCAACACTGACTGGAATCTTTCTATTACATTCACTTCAGTGGAAAGCAGATTCTCACTTCAGTGGGTCTTTCTATACCTGTCACAAAGTTGTAATAAAATATATCTGATATTATACTACGCATTATTTGCAAAATAAACATGATCATGTAATCATGGACTATATCATAAGGTTCAAGCACATGGAAAATGTATAAGATTGAGATGCTATCTTCACTTTTGTACTTCTTGACTTTTGCGTGCTTAACTGTATTGCAGTGATAGAAAGCAGAGCGACCATTCCCCGCCATCTTCACCATCACAGGCTTTTTTCTTTATAACCTCTTCCATTTCACCCCTAACTGTAAAGTGAATAAAATAATGAGCTGATAGCTCAGGAAGAAGCCCTTACGGAGTTGAGCTTCTCTCCTCTCCCTCTCTGCATCTATTTGCAGTTGATCAAAGTTGCGGCTTCTCATCTCTCTCATCATCTGTTCTGCTTCAGCCTGTTCTTTGGTGGCATCCCCAAAGGGCAAAGTGTTATCTCCTCTGTTCATACTAGCTATCTGCTCCAGGAGCACTGAAAAAAAAAAAAGGAAATTTCACAGTCAAGCAGAGAAGACCTTTAAATCTACATGAGAGAGAGAAATCTCAAATCTATTAAAGCCAAATCTTGCATTACTGAGGTAAACTCATTTTGCATTAATTGCATATTGCTGAAATTAATCTGTAGTCTTTCCTGTCACGCTAGTGGAATTGTTCTGCATTTCACGTATCTGCATATTTTGGCTCCCATTTTCTTTTACAAAGTGGATATCTGAAAACTTCTCAAGTTTAAGTTAATTTAAGAAGTTACAGGTCTGTTAAGAAGATGTTTTCAAGTAAAACATGATACATTGGTAAAATTCATTCTTACCCTGAATATTGCTGATGGCAATTTGTACCTTTGAAAGCAAATCTTTTCCTCTTTGATTTGTCTCACCAAAATTATTAAACAACACTTCGGCTTTCCTGTAATTCATTTCAGCCTATTATGTGAAAAAAATATATAAGCAGTCAGCTTAAAGATAGAATGAGATGGAAAATTAATATTTAGTTAAAAGTGATGATGATTTGTCACTTGATTTAATAAGGTACCTTTCCTTGTAGATCATTTATATCTTGGTTAAGTTTAATAAAGTCCATGTCCAGATCAGCCACTTTTGACCCCTGACTTAGAACAACTGAACGGTAACTGTGCAGCAATGCCTGAAAATAAAGCAAAAATAATGTCCATGACCAAACCAAATATGCCACCCACACAAGGCTTAGTTCTAGAGAATGAATTAAAATACAGAAGGCCAGATCTTCAACTAGTGTAAAACAAGATAGTTTTACGGACTCTTGAGGTGATCAGTTCAATTTACTCCAGCAGCAGTTACAAATGCAGCTGAAGGAAGTCCAGTGGACTAGTGGTAGTGCTGAAGACACCTCCACTGCCTGAAAGCAGCAAAATTCTAGTGGGGTCCAGAGGGCACAGGCTACAAAGTGAAAGTGAGAGGCCTAGGATGGGACAGGGTTTTTGAGGTTCTTAAAAGCATCAGTTGTAACTCAAGGTAGTCATTCCACAGCATATACTCCAAGTAAGACCAGCAGCCCTATTGTTTTAAGTCTGTATTATGGAATCAGCAATTTTTCCATGTTTACATGCTGGCAACAGGTTGACATGAAGTTCTACTGCTTGCATCCAACTCTACTTAGTCAGAACCTGCTTCTTGAAACCGTGTCTTTTTTTTCAAGTCCATTTACCCTTAAGTCCTTGATGCGCGTTTCCAAGTGTCTCATCTGCTCCAGTGCGTGGGCACTTGAATTGACATTTTGCAGCTGAGACTTAATCAGCAGAAGCTCGTCACCCATTGTGTCCAAATCCTTCAGCAAAGTAATTACACAACTATCACAAGCTGAAAGAAAAGCAATGAGCAAAGGAAAACAATATCAATTGTGGATATTTTCAGCAGAGAACATTTCACTGAGCACACTAACAAAGGAGGTGGAATGAAAGCTCTTTGATATTTCGTCACCTGGTGCTACATGAACAAAGGCAAGAGCAAAGCCCGCGGTATTAAAAAATGTGACTAAATCTACAAAATTAAGGCCTGTTTTGCCCACATTACCATCCAGCATTTTTACCCTGTAATATATTTTCCCCTTCTAAGTGTTTTGCTGATTATTTGATAAGTTGCTGGTTATTGGCTTTATGGTTCCTTTTTCTACTCTATCACTTTTAAAACAATCATCAGTCTATTGGCAAAGCCAGAAAGCAGAAGTCTAAAGCAACCGAACACTACTTACTGTCACAATCTTCATTGGGATCCACATCTTTCGGTTCATGGTTTAAGCATTCTGAAAACAAAAAAGAAAAAAAGAAAATCCAATAGCCAAGATTGTGACTGAAGTTTTGCAACACTATTTTATTTTTAATGAAAAGAAGAACATTAAACTTGTAATGCTAGGCCATTAATGTACGGTGCAGGTAGCCACATGGGCAAATCTAGGATTTTGAAAATGGGGAGGGAAAAAGGAGTGGCACATCATCACATATAATACAACACATATTTTTCTCCAGTTACAAAGAAACTAGATGCTTTACTAATATTCTAAGAGGCTAGCACTATATATGAATCATGGAAAATTAAGGTTGGAAAGGACCTCACGAGGTCATCTTGTCCAACCCCCTTCTCAAAGCAGGACCATCCCCAACTGTATCATCCCAGTCAAGGCTTTGTCTAACTGAGTCTCAAAAACCTCTAAGGATGGAGACTCCACAACCTCTGTGGGTAACCTGTTCCAGAGCTTTACTATCCCACTAGTAAGAAAGCTTTTCCTCATATCTAACCTAAGCTTTCCTTGCTGCAACTTAAGACCGTTGCTTCTTGTTCTATCAACTGCCACGCCTGAGAACAGTGCCATCCCTCAGTGCAACCACTCTTCAGGTAGATGAAGGCTGTAAACTAAATACACCTTTAGTCTTCTCTTCTCCAGACTAAATAAGCTCACTTAGTTCCATTGGTGTGGCTCCTATGGAACAACCTAGAAACATCAAAGCTCTATGGAACCGCAGAGGAAGGGTGATTTTAAAGATCTTTTCCCCTAAGCAATATGCAAACTTCTGGAAGGGTAAATCTGAACCATGCTACAGACTTCAAAATAAGTTTTCAGTCACTTTTAAAAAGGTTGTAAAAACAGAGACATACTGGACCTGGTATGTTATCAAAGGTAGGAAAAGAGTAAAATGAAATAATTGACTTCTGATGCTAGTCCTCTGGCAAAGAAATGGCCTGAACTTGAGGCGTTTTTTGCTCTGAAAACCAACTTTCACAGAACAGCACTACAGTGCTCCATGCTTAGCGTTTCTACACTAAATTCAATTACAAACATACTGATTGTTTAATCCTATGAATAGGACCTAAGCTCTGTTCAGAATATATAAGAAGGAAAGAGACTCTGTCACACTGTTGCTCATATCCATTGCTCTTGAGAGCTAGTGGGTATAAAATATGCCAAAAACTTACTTCTGTCACAAGAAAAAGAAATGATGGCACAACAATATATACAGTGAAAAAATCCATGGCATCATATATCATTTTTACGTTGTCACTTTCTGGCGTACGAAAACATTAAAAAGCCCCAGTTGGGGGCAAGCATCTGTAGTCAGAAAGAGTGCCTAGGCACATGTTTCAGGTTAAATACATGCTTATATACTTTCCTGAACTGAGACCTTGATGATCTATAAGGTCAGAATAATGGCTTAAAAGATAAGCTTAAAAAGAGTCTTAGGTAGCTCCGCATTTAACTTGCTGGGTTTTATGGATACTATTCTAATGTGTTCAACTCTCCCAGTAGGTTGCACAGGGAGTCTTGGCATCTAACCCAGGACTGTGGGTTTTGCTATTGAAGGCAGCTGCCTCTAAGCTGGGTGTTGTAATACTCAGCATCATGGTGCCTTGTTCCCTCTGTTGAGCTGGGTCTGTTGGTAAATTGTGAAATGCCCAGTGTAATCATCTCCTACTGAAATTTAAGGGAATTGAGGATGTCCTATATCTTTGCAGAAAATATTCAGGAGCAAAGTCTCTGCTGCTAAGAGTCAATGATATCTTTGCATAAGATATAGAACAATGAGGACCAAAATGTTAACAGTCTCAAGATGAGAAACAGCCAACATGCTCCCACAAATGGACTTGCTGTATCTTCTCCTTCAATTACATCTTAGGCCATCAGGCAATTAAAAAATTGGCATTGGATCCTTCAACAGTGCCAAAAAACAAGAGTTTTTAATGGGGCTATTGCAGGAAAGGCAACTGAATTCCTTCTGGATACAATAAGCAAGCACACTCCTGCTGATGTATAACCCAGCTACCCCAGACATCTTCCAACTGTCTCCAAAGCATGCCAATTAAATAGGACCATTATTACAGCCTATGCAGTAACTATATCACCCAAGAATGATAAACCAGAAAAATTATACAGCCTAGTGAAGAACCTAAGTCAGATAACTTGCCAAAACATGCTGTGTTACTGATTGAAAGAGCTTTTAATACAAATGTGGAAAAAGAGATTGCTGATCAGAACATAATGGTAAAGGTAAACTGAAAACAGACTGACTCACTAAATTCCATCCTAAGAATTAGCTTGTCCCTGCAATCTCTTGCTTCAAAAAGAGGCCAGGATAAGGGAAAAACACTCTTCAGATCAGTTCCATCAAAAATATGAATCTAATAAAGTGGCATTACCATAATAATGAAATGGAAAACTAGCATTTGTTAGCAAAAACCTGTACCAGGTGCCAACAACTCACAGCTGTTTCTCTCATATCTTAGATTAAACCTTGAAAGAAAAAACAGTCATCTCAATCACTTGAGTATAGCCTGAACAACGAATCTCAAAATGTACTAGAGTATGAGAATTAGTTTGGTTTTAGTCTGACACACTCTTTTGACATATTGATGAAATGTGAGAAGGAAAAGCTGCCTTCGGGAGGAGATGAAGTACAAATTTACTAATCTCACAAAAAGGTCGGTAAAGAACAAAAACATCACAACTAAGAAACTCACCAGGGATAGGGTCTTGCGTATCTCTCAGCTGCTACAAGTGTTTCAAGAGTTTAACATAAACTAGCTTAAAGATGGGGCGTCGGTGACATGATCTTACCATTTCTTTTAGAACAGAGCTGTCCAATTTGTAAGCAACCAGTGGCTGCATGCCCTGTGGGCCACACCAGTGGGGGGGGTCACACCAGTATGATCCATGGGCTCATACTGGGTTGTGTGGGTGTCCTACCACTTGCTACACCATGCCGCATGTGCATCCTAGCACCCAGCCATCAAACCATATGGGCACCCTAGGCTCCACCCTCAGCTCCCTGGTGGCAGGCTCCCCTGCCACACTGTACTGCCCCCCTGAGGCAGGGACAGAAAATGGAAGCCAAAAGGAAGGAGGGGGAGCCTAGAGACCCTGGATGCTGCTGTTGCCACTGGAGCAATATGAGGAGCAGTGCCTTGATTGGAGCCAGGGCAGGCTGCAAATTAACCCCTTAGTTGGACACTTCTTTTAGAATGAGAGTAGATAAAACAAAAAAAAAAATAGAAGCATGGGGTAACATTCTCAAAATACCTAAGTGATTTAGGAGCCTCTCTCTAATTTTCAAGGAATTTAGGTACTTGAAAGTGCCCTATTTTTATTGATATTCTACTGAAGTTTAGGATGCCTAGAGATCCAGATAGTCCCTAGTTACCTGGCTGGACTAGCAAAAGACCCTAGTGAGTAAACTGACTTTCAACCAGTTAGGCACTTTTGTGAATCCCACTGGATAACTAACAGGAAACCATTATGCCATTGTAAATCTGGTGTTGTGTAAGTCACTTTGAACATGAGAGTGACGGTAAGGCTGACCTGCAGTCTGCAATGGAGCATTAAATCAGCTAGCTCATATATCAGAAGCAGCATGGAGCTCCTAATTTGCCCCGTTTCTCAGAGGCAGATTCTTTGCCCCATAAATGACATAAAAGTAATGCAGTTTGTACACTGTGAAGTTGAAAGTAAAGGCACACTAAGATTGCTCCACAAGGCTTGCTTCATAAGTTTATAATACAGTACAGCAAAATATGATGTGAGCATGCCATTAGAGGAAACATAATTTACTTAACTATAATGGTAGGATAGAAAAACAGAATATCAACCATGATTATGAACGGTAATACATGATATGGTTTCCTGCAACAGCAGGGGAAAAGATTCTACGATCCAGAAAGTCCCATCTAGTGTCCGATGTTCATGTGTCAAGATTTCAAAACTTAACATTTATTAAAACTGATATGTATTCCTCTTAGTTGTATCAGAATTCTTCTGTTCATTCAATGAAAGACAAATGATATGTCCATATACCCTCACATACCTCCTGTCAGACGATCACAGCTCATCAGTTGACCATTATTATTGCAATTACACTTCTGACAGTAGCCCCCATACTTTAATGGATTCCCAAAATATCCTGGAGCACAGCTAGACAGAACAAACATAAATATTATTTAAATATCTGAAATTGTTTCCCTCCCCTTTCTCAGAAGCATTTTCATTTAATAAAAATGTAGCTTTCCTTACAAGGAAACCATCAAGCAGTTTTGATCTCTCAGCTTGATTTAGACGAAAAAGAATATTTCTGATCCAGAGTATTCTCTGCGTTCTAAATACCTACTAAAATATTCTTCTACCTATGGCTGAGAATATTTGTCAACAGAAAAAAACTTCCATTTCCCTGTCAAAATTGATTTGATACAAGTGAGTCATAAAGGAGCACTCTTTTTAAATCAGTACTGAATCAATGCAGCAACATGGTAAGAGACAGAATGCTGCTAGGGGTACTCTCTTTCAGGAGAGACAACATGATTTCTTGGCCACTTGATTCCAACTATACAGTAGTAGGACAGAAAAACAGAATATCATTCAGTCAACTTAAATTCCTCCATATTTTAAAATGAATAAGGTATTCTTCACTTCTGTTTTTAAAACATTGCATGGCATTTCTTTGTGTTGCTAAACTTTTGTATTGTTATAACTGGAGGTGGCTGCAGATATTTATTTGTAAACTTTGTCTCTAGAACATGTTGGGATCATCTGGTGTGAAGTGAACTGTTTGAGTATCATGATTGTCACTAACAGCCTCTTCAGAGAAGTATGCCTATTTTCCCAGATGTCACTGAGGATGCTCAGAGTACAAATATGAAGTAAACAATTTACTGCCTTAGAAGAAATGAGAAAATGTTTTCCATCTTGAAACAGAACAAAACAAAGTTGAATTACTGTTATTACAAATAATGGAGAATGAACCAACATACAATGAGTCTATTCAAAGTAGATGTCAGTCTTCTTATTGATACAATCAATGGGCCAGGTAGATAAGCTAAAGAGAATTATTCATGTATTTCTGTTCTCCATGCTTTTTATGATAAATTACTCAAATTAGTATGGTATACCTCATATATATACAGACCAGTATTTCTCCCATATATTTATTTATATTTGCATGCACATTATAGACATGGATAATTTAGGCACAAACACAACATATACAGTAAACATTAGTAAAATGCTTGAGTAAATAAGCATTATGTATGGTCCATCTGAGAAAGCTACAGAACAATCACCTACCTTTCACAATGAATTCCAGAATAACCTTTTTTGCATAGACATTGAACTTCTTCACCATTTGCTACACAGCCAGTTGCAAAACTACAAGATAAAAAATATTTTGAAGAAAACACAATCTATAGGTTTTACACTTTAAAGGCATATTTTGGAAGTAGTTCAGATGATTTACAATGAATTAAGCAGGGGTTAATGAACTTTCAGAATAAAAGATTATTTGTACCACCAAATTACCCAAGATTTAGTTCCATAATCACTAGCCAAATAATTTTGCTGCTTCAAGTTTTTCTTCTAAATTCACTCTTCAAAATACTTTCCTGACCCAGACTACACAGAGTTACAAATGCCTCATTTTGGGAAGGAATGCATACAACTGGTCTTCTTAACAATGAGATTATGAAAAAAAAATCTCCCTATTGACTGCACAGCCCTTCCACATTCATGCTTAACAGGATTGCATTTTTTTTATGAATGTGAAAGGGTGACATCAAAGTCTACCATGCAGTTGGGGTTTTTTTGCATGGAAGCTGTATAGACTTGAACCTCCCAGGAGGGAGGTCTAGGAGTGATGGTGCCTCTTGAGCTCCCTAGTATCACGGGAGAACTTTCTGGCATACTAAGTTAATTTTGAGGTATGTTCTGAAGGGTTTACAGTTGCTTAGCTGTAGTGTAGGGTTTGTGAAGCAGGCCCTTTCCATCACTTGACCATCCAGAAGCATCAGGCATGTTTGTCTTTGAAATCTAGAATCTGATTTCCATACCAAAAAAATACATCAATATTACTTTGGAGGAAAAGTGGTGACTCTGGCAATGATGGGTGGAAGCTATTTCCTGTATGATGAATAGTATCTCCTAAATCCATACGCAGCTCTGTATCAAATTGCATTTTTCCCTAGTTATATGACCTCTGTTAGAACAAAGGACAAATCAAACTATGTTTAGCCAGCCTCAGGCAAACACGTGTAGAAAGAGAAACTGTCACAAACAGATCCATCAGATATACTATGACATATGAAAAATCTACCTACTGCCAGTGAATAGTTCTTACTTAAAGGCTACTAGCCTCTGCTTCTGCACTTGGCAAATGCTATGTGATACTCTTAGCAAAGAGGTACGTAGGTTTTAAAAGAGCTGCATATTTCTTCTTTAAAGGTACACGTTCCAAACAACACGGAGCTCACAACAACACTCACAACTTCCCAGCAATCTTACTAAGACCCTAGAAAATGTCATTTTTTCTTACCATTCAGCAGTATTTGCTGAAGCTGTAGTTTGATAAGCCCGTTTCTGCTTTGAATGTGGCTTTCATCTGACAAGCCAGTGAAATCTTTCAAATATAGTCAGATAGATACACATGCATTTACATGTTTATAAGTTTCAGTTATTTCTTGGTGTGCAGATTATTCATTCTCTCTGCATTCACATTAAGGCCTGTTCCCTCATTGCTGCTTATCTCCTCAGCAGTTTGATTCAGCTGAGAGTAATGACATTAAACATCACAGCAAAAGTAATTTCCATGCGCTGACTCACGAATATGGCTTTTCATCAGGGCAGAAATCAACAACCTACAGTCTGTGGGCCAGATCCAGCCCACAGAACCACAGGATCTGGCTTGCAGAGCTGGGGCTTTGGTGGCATTTGGCAGCAGTGGGGCTCAGCAGTGGGGGCTTTGTTTGTACTGCCCTGAAGCTGGGTGGTTAGACAGCAGTGTGCTCTCTCATGCCTTGCCAGAGCTGGGCGACAGTAAGAAGTGGCAGCAGGAAGAAGTGTTCTGCCTGGCTTGGCCTGCTTAAGATGTGAGCTGGGCCATTCCAACCCACTGCTGCAAAACATTGCTGATCACTCCATTAGAGGGGTAAGAGTCTGGATTATGACGGAGAAAATCTTCTGAAACCACATTTGTTTTTAAAAGTGAATGGTATGTAGTAAAATACTAAGAAGCACATATACAAATGAGTACACTCTGAACATGGCCTATAAGCAAAACAGTTCATGGGTAAGCAATCATGCTTATGCAAAACCCTGAAGGAGACCTGCTCAATAGCAGCTGTTTGGCCACATATGTGGCTTTTTATGCACTTATGTATAATTTGTGATACAATTATCCATGCTGTGTGGACATACAAGTGTAAACACATATATCGCACATGCTCAGGAGGCAACATACTGGTTGGGCAGGTACACAACTACATATACACATAAGCTACAAAATTCTGCTCAGCATAGACCCATGACTACCAGGTGTTAGACACCAGGGAAGGAAAAGGGCCCTCCTGCATTTTAGCCCCAGCAGCTGAGTGGTTAGGGCACTTGCCCAGGAGACCACAGTTCCAGACTCCTTTCACCTGGAGGAAAATTTACAGGCACTGGGTTCTAGCTTGGGCCACTATTCCTAGTGGGCAGAAACTTCCCCATTGTATGCCATCTGTTTTATCCAATGATTAGCAAGTGCAAGGCACAGTGGCTTGTCTTCCAAAGAAGACTTGGCAGGGGACTGAGATAACAGCTGACCTCTGGAAAGCAGGAGAGAGCACTGTGGTTGGAAGTCAGAGAAATTAGAAATTCAAGCCCCCTTTGGGCAACAGAGGACTAGAACTTGTCCTTGTTCCTAGGCAAGTGCCCTAATTACCATATGTACAAAATTTAAGACAACCCCCAATAATGAGATTCTAGACAAAGAACATGCATACATTTGTTACAACTTTCCATGTATAGAATCGCATTATTGGTAGCATCGCTTAAATTTGTCATTCCCCCACCCTGCCACCTCTGCAGCAAGGAAAGCAGTAGCAGTGGAGTAGGCAGTGGAGGAGGGAGTAGAGGGCAAGTGAAGAGGAAAGATGGTGGGGGACTCTGGGGGGACAGGCAGTAGGGGAGGCAGCGGGCAGCAGCCTTCCCCCTGTCGTCCCTGCCACTTGTCCCCCCCTGCTGCCTGCCCCACCCTGTGCCTGTGCACCCCAGCCCCTACCCACTTCTGGTACTTGCCCTGTCTATTCCCTGCTATATGCTACCCCCATGCCTGAACCCCCTGGCACCTTCCCTCCAATGCCAGCCTCCGCCATCTGGTCCCTGCTACCACCTTCTTCCCCTTGCTGCCTCTGTCCGCACAACCTTTGTGCCTCTCCTTCCCACCTTCACCCTGCAACCCTGTGCTCCATACCCAGAGCTGAAGCAGGGCTAGAGCCCTGTTGAAGCCAGAGGGTAAGTGGCAACAGTGGTGGGTCGTGGAGACAGTGGTGGGGTAGAGGCTGTGGGGGGTGGGAGGAGATGGTGGGGGAGGATAGATCGCAAGCAGAGGCTGCAGGGAGGCAGGTAGCAGCTGATGCTCCGACCCTGACCCCAGGTCGAGGCCAGCGTCTCAGCAAGCAATTTGCTCCCCCCACCTTAGACTTAAATGCAAGATAACGGGTCCCACCTGTATTACAATGGGGAGAAAAACCTTGTCTTGGATTTGAGTAAATACAGTACTCAGCTAGTGAGACTGAAACATGGGTGAATGCTTTTTTTCCCCCTCTGGTGTCTAACACCCAGTAGTCATGGGATTTTGTCTGGCTAGTTTTCTGTCTTCTGTACATGCATACATAACTGCATGCTTGAGCAGCTAGTGCACAGCCTATTGAGAATGCATAGTAACAGTGTATTCTCAGTATCAGGTCATAGAATTGAAAACTGTGTGTACTTGCCAAGAAGGTCACTTACACAACTGAAAAACAGCCATTTAGGCATTTAAAAGGAAATTGAATCCTACCTAGGGGATCCCCATGTGATCAGTGGTATGTCCTCATGTGGTCAGTTGAACTTACTAATGACAGTGAAATAAGATCAGGCACTCACTTAATGTTCTTTATACTGCGCTAGTGCCTGTGATTGTACAGTATCTAGCACAGTAGGACACCAAACAGAGTAAGTCATAGTCCCAACCCACTTTCTGGAACTTGGCCTCATTTTATTTTAACTTGACACTATATGGAGTCTAATACCTGTTTGTATAAGGGCAGGGGCACACCCTACAGGAACCCTGTGTGGCGTCTCCAAAGTAACCTTCTTTACAGCGTTCACACTTCTCCCCAGCAGTATTATGTTGACAATTCTTAAAAGAGAAAAAAGCCAGACAATTAACAGTATCCTCATTTTGTAGGGTATTACTACTACTACTACCTTTACTACTGGGAAATTAGAGCTGATCTGTTCCAAAACTACAAGAACACTTTTATTTTTACTCACAGTGAACCATGTATTACCAAACTGCCTGTGTTACATTTGTCCCACTTCTTGACTAGCTGTGAGTACAGAGTTCTCCCATTAGTATTTGAGGACAGCAGAATACACAAATCCTATTAAACTTATCTGTATTTACCTGAATCCAAGCTGACTTTGAATTTACGAGGATCCCCACGTTAAACAAGGGAACCTTGCCTTGGATTCGTGTAAATACAGCATTCAAATAATTTGTGTACTTAGTTAATGAATGTTTCTCTTACATGTATATCTGTCTCTATTTTTCTAGTGAATCCATTAAACATGCACTCAGTTTGAATGCCATTTTAAAATTTACATTCTAACTTAAATTAAAAATTATGGATAATTATGCACAATTTTAAAAATATACAATTAATTGAGCCCAGAAATCTTCTACACAATTACCATAAAATGACTTTTAAGACTAGTTCCCTTGAGGGATTCCGATCATCTTTTTTTTCCATGTACCTTTCCACAGTGTGCAAGTAATTTGTATTTAATTTGGTAATTGAAATTAATAATTAATAAAGAATGCTCAAAGAAAAATATACCAGAGTGGCAATTTTTTGGCATAACTGAGGTTTCTAAGACTGAAATCTTGCTTTAGATAATTCACCTGAATTACAGAATCAGAGAAAATTAGGTTTGGAAGGGACTTCGGGAGGTCATGTAGACCAACCCCTGCTCAAAGCAGGACCATTCCCAACTATCTCATTCAAGTCAAGGCTTTATCTACCTGGGTCTTAAAACCCACCAAGGATGGAGTTTCCACAACCTCTCTGGGTAACCTGTTCCAGTATTTTACTACCCTCCTAGTGAGAACATTTTTCCTAATATCTAACCCAAACTTTCCGTCCTGCAACTGGAGGCCATTGCTCCTTGTTCTGTCATCTGCTACACTGAGAACAGTCTAGCTCAGGTTTGTCCAACATACAGCCCGCGGGCCGCCATGCAGCCCGCCAAGACATTTTCTGTGGCCCACAGTGCTGCGACAGGAACCAAAAGTAAACACTGTTTACTTTCACTCCCACCCCTTGTCCCTCCCCCAGCCCCTCAGCAGCTTCCTAATGGCTGCTGAAGGGCTAGGGAAGGGACAAGGTTCCCACATGCACCGGGTCTGCTTGACATTGCTGATGCGGTGCGGCTCCTCCCCTCCCCCCTCATTTTATGGTGTCCCTTCCTAGCCCTGCCCCTCCCTTCCTCATTTGCATGCCAGCCCCATCCTGCACCGGTCCCCGCCAGCTGTGCGGGCTGGAGTAGGTCGCGATGCAGCGGGCGGGCGGGGGCAGATACCAGCTTGGAGGGATGCTGCGGCCAGGCCCACAGGAGATGCTGCTGCCACTGCTGCTGTGGCTGTCGGGGCAGGAAGCTGGAGCTGCTCCCGCCTCCCTACATCCCCCCACACCCGCAGACATCACGCTGGGGGTGGTGAGTCGCGGGCCCCTGGGAGGGAGGGAGCCCTGCTGGTTGGGCTTGGGCTGCCTCAGGGTAGAGGGAGCAGGGGGGTGTCCCTGCATGTCTCGCACCCCGCTGTAGGGTCCCCGCATGTCCCCCTGGCTGCTGAGCCCAGGCACGCAAGTGTGGGAGCATCCTCGAGTCGGCCCAGGTGGCAGGGAGGACACGGCGGGGTCAGGCAGTGCCTCTTGACCCCTGTGCCCCCTAATCAGTGTTCTCTTCTCCAAACTAAATAAGCCCAGTTCCCTCAGCTTCTCATAAGTCATGTGCCCCAGCCTCCTAACAGTTTTCACTGCCCTCCACTGGACTCTCTCCAATTTGTCCAACTTCTGTAGTGGGGAGCCCAAAACTGGACAGAGGACTCCAGATGCGGTCTCACCAGTGTAGACTAAAAGGAAATAATCACTTCCCTTGATCTGCTGGCAATGCTCTTACTAATCAGCCAAGTATACTGCTAGCCTTCTTCACAATAAGGGCACACTAGTGGCTTATTGTCCCCTGTAACTCCCAGGTCCTTTTCTGCAGAGCTGCTGCCCAGCCAGTCAGTCCCCAGCCTGTAGTGCAGAGCTTTCCAAACTGTGTGCCGCGACACATTAGTGTGTCGGCAGCAGTGTGTAGGTGTGTCGCGCGAAATGCAGAAAATTTTGCGGAAGGGCACCGCAGAGCTTCCTTACTCGCGTCTGCTTTCCTTGGCCCCTCCCCCGGAACTGAATTACTGTGTCGCGAAATGATGCATGTCTAAAAAGTGTGTCACCAACATGAAAAGTTTGGAAAGCTCTGCTGTAGTGGTTTATGGAATTGTTCTGTGCTAAGTGCAGGACTTTGCACTTGTCCTTATTGAACCTCATGAGATTTCTTTTGGTCCAGTCCTCCAATTTGTCAAGGTCTCTCTGGATACTAGCCCTACCCTCCAATGTATCTACTACTCCCCCCAGCTTGGTGTCATCTGCAACCTTGCTGAGGGTGCAATCTGTCCCAACTTCTAGGTCATTGATGAAAATACTGAACAAAACCAGCCCCAGGACTGATCCCTGGGGCATTCCACTTGATACCAGTTGCCAACTACACATCAATCCATTGACAACTACCCTCTGAGCCTAATGATCCAGCCAGTTTTCTATCCACTTTACAGTCCATTGAACCAACCTGTACTTCCTTAGCTTGCTTTTGAGAACGTTGTGAGAGACTATAAAAACCTTGCTGAAGTCAAGGTATATCACATTCACTGGAACCCTACTTCCACAAAGCCAGACATTTCATCATAGAAAGCAATCAGGTTGGTCAGGCATGACTTGCCCTTGGTGAATCCATGCTGACTGCTCCTAACCACCTTCTTCTCCTCCACGTGCTTAGAAATGGAGTCTTTGAGAACCTGCTCCATGATTTTTCCAGGAATTGAGGTGAGGCTGACCGATCCATAGTTCTCTAGATCATCCTTCTTCCATTTCTTAAAGTGGGCACTACATTTGCCCTTTTGCAATCATTTGGGACCTCCCCTGATCGTCATGAGTTTTCAAAGATGATGGCCAGTGGCTCTGCAGTCACCTTGGCCAACTCCCTCAGCACCCTCAGGTGCATCCTATTCAGCCTCATGGACTTGTACACAGCCTGCTTTTCTACATGGTCCCTAACCTATTGTTTTGCTACTGTTGGCTGCTCACCTCCTCCCCAGACTGTGCTGCCTGGTGCAGTAATCTGGGAACTGAACTTGCCTGTGAAGACTGAGGTTAAAAAGGCATCATGTACTTCAGCCTTTTCTGCACCCTGTGTCACTAGGTTGCTTCCCTATTTAGTAAAACCACACTTCCCCCAATCCTCCTCTTGTTCCTGACATGCTTGTAGAAACCCTTCTTGTTTTCCTTCAACTCCCTTACTAGCTGTAACTCCAATTGTGTTCTGGCCTTCCTGATCTCATCTCTGCATTTCCAAGTAATGCTCTTATACTCCTCCCTAGTTGTTTGTCCATGTTTCTACTTCTTATAAGCATTCTGTTTGTGTTTTAGCTCACTGAAGAGTTCCTTGCTAAGCCAAGCTGGTCTTCTGCCATACCTGCTAGTCTTCCTGTACATTGGGATGGTTTGTTCCTGTGTCCCCAGCAAGGTTTCTTTAAAATACAGCCAACTCTCCTGGACTCCTCTTCCCCTCAGACTGGCCTCCCAGAGGATCCTGCCCATGAGTTCCCTGAACTCTGCTGAAGTCTGCCTTTCTGAAGTCCAGGGTCCATACTCTGCTGCTCTCCTTCCTTTCCTCATCACATAGTCACCACTGCCCAAGTTGCCATCTACTACTACATTCCCCACCAATTCTTTCCTGTTCGTGAGTAGCAGGTCAAGCAGCATGGCCCCTAGTTTGCCTCTCCAGCACCTGTACCTAGAAGTTCTCCCCAACACTCTCCAGAAACTTCCTGGGTTGCCTGTGCATTATTGTATTACCCTCCCAGTAGATATCAGGGTAACTGAAGTCCCCCATGAGAACCAGGGCCTGTGATCAGGAAACTTCTACTAGCTGTTTGAGGAAAGCCTCATCTACCGTATCCTCCTGGTCTTGTGGTCTATAGCAGATGCTATTCCCAACATCACCCTTGTTGTTTTCCCCTCTGACTCTAACCCAGAGACTTTCAACAGGCTTGTCTCCAGTTTCATACTGGAGTTCTGATTAATCATATGATTCTTTTACATAAAGTGCAACTCCTCCTCCTCTTCTCCCCTGTCTGTCTTTCTTGAACATTTTATACCTATCCATGACAGTGCTCCACTCATGCCAGCTATCCCACCAAGTCTGTTATTCCAAACACGTCATAGTTGCATGACTATACAAGGACTTGCAATTCCTCCTGCTTGTTTCCCAGGCTTCATAAATTCATGTACAAGCACCTGAGGTAACTACACTACTTTCCCAGGAAGAATCACAAGGCCTCCCCTTTTGCCCCATCCTGCTTTTGCTTCCTCCAAGTCACCCACTTCCCCGCTTGCCTCAGGGTTTTGGTCTCCATACCCTGGACAACCTAGTTCAAAGCCCTCCTCACCAAGTTAACAAGCCTGTCTATGAACATGCTCTTCCCTCTCTTTGTCAGGTGGATCCCATCTCTTCCTAGCAATCTTTCTTGGACCATCGTCCCATGGTCAGAGAAGTCAAAGCCCTCCTGGCAACATCATCTGTGCAGCTATGCAGTGATCTGCAGGGTGAGTCCACTCCTGCCTAGCCCCTTGACTGGAAGGATTGAGAACACCACCAGAGGCACCATCCCCTTCACGCTTCCACCCAGAGACCTGTAGTCACTTTTGATCTGCTCAGTGTCTCCCCTGGCAGTATCACTGGTGCCCACATGAGCAGCATAGCGTAGTAGTTAAAAGGGCTGGATGAGTCTCAGTAATCCTTCCATAATATCTTGGATCT